TCTTGCAGCAGACCACTGGAGTCATTCATGCCATCATCTTCTTTTTTCAAGAAAAAAAAATTACAGTTTAAAGCCTTTTTCATTATATCTATGAATCGTCACACAGCCGTGATATGATACTGGCCTGGGCATGGCTGCTACTCCTGTGATAATGCCCGTTGCAGGGTCGTAACAAAGAATAGTGTCTGTGGCTTCACCGTTTTCTCGTCTTCCACCAAGGATATAGATTTTTCCATTACACACAGACATGCCACAATTCTCCTGTTTCAAAATACACAAAGGAATATATGATTATTTAAAAAACAAGACTTCAATTCCTGCCTGTCTATCCCAGTATAAAAAGACAGCGTTGTGACTACCGTTTGTAACCAGACCGGCCTACGCTATTCCCGCCTGAGATGTCCGATGCAGAAAGCACAGTAACTGGGGAAAGCAGCTGCACAATCCTACAGAAAAGACTATTTCAGGTCTCAGCCTTCACTACAGCTCGGACAAGGGATACAATGGAATACAGCTGAACACTGTACTTACCGTTACCATCTGAGAAAAGGAAAGGAGGACAGAACAAAAGGTTTTCAGAAGAGTGACCACAGTAGGTACTATTAATGCAAAAAAATGGGAACAAGGAGAAGCACCTCAGAGGAGTAACAGATAATGAAGAGGAATGTTAACAGGGGAGAGGAAAAAAAGCCATGAGTAAGAAAAGAGTGCATCAGAAAAAGACAACTATGTCTTACTTGAAACAAAGAGACAGGATTTTATTTCTTCCTTAAAAGCAGGCATGGAAAAAATATTCAGTTAAATAGGGAACAGATCGAAACCGAGGAATAGAGGGAAGGCCAGGAAGACGACCAACAAACTTCTATTAAGGTAGATACCGTACAGTGCGTGATTGACGTTTTAAAAACATAGGGAAAATTGGGAAATTAACTGATGTACACACACTTTACTGCCGAGGCGACACTTTTTTAAATTCAGCTCAGTGTCCTGACTGTGGAAGGGATACAGCTCTTGCTGCTTAAGTCAGATACTTTCTCTGCTACACAGTGAGGTTTTTTCCCCCACTGTAAGAACAGTTTTCAATATTTTTGTTACATTGAAAGGCTTTAATCAATTATAAGGAAATTACTGTCTTCAGTCTAAATTAAAACATGCAGAAGAACTTCACAGAGATCAATTTTTATACAGTTAAAACATCATCCATTATACTGTTACACTGTTCTCCAACAGTAACTGGTCTCAAACAAAAAGTCTGGACTGGCTAACAGTGACATCCAGCTGAAAAGCTACTGGTTCAGAAACTTCCTCTTCTGTGAGGTTTTGAATTATACAGATGAAGAAATAAAGCAAGAATGGAGTCCAAGATGCAGTTTTAACAGGGTTAAGCAAGTGTATACTCATTTCTCGCCAAGATAGCAACGTAAAAAAACACCTTTCAGATGCCTACACGCCTTTTAGTGTTAATTACCTGTCTGCTGAATGTATTCTGTACATGCATCCAGTAGTCCTCGACTGGATCATAGCAGTATATCGCTTTGGTGAGCCCACCAGCAACATAGATCAGATTGTTTAAAGACACGGCCGTAATACATCTTTTCGCAATAGGGATGGTTGCACGGAGCAACCAAGAATTAGTATCGGGATCGTACGACTGAACCTGAAAACAAATACATGTATTTCAGATTAAAAGCCTAACTGAAATAATAACCTGGCACACCCAGACAGGTTATACAAGGAGAGCTGAAGCAGCAATACCTGGTGGGCAATATCTCACCAAGAAAATGAAGTCAATATAAATACAGGTCCATAAATAACGCCTATATATGCGCTATATTCAACATTCTTTTCCTAACACTCAGGTTTAAGAATTCATGGAACTTTTGAAGTCAATGACATTACCCATAAGAAAAACCATAGTAACTATAAATTACTGAGTTAAAGTTTTCTACTTTTTCCTATTATAGTAATTCCATACTCCACTCAGCAAAACAATTAAAGCAGATCCCTGTATGGTCTGTTTTTAAACCAGCAATACTGGTTACCATAGATAGAAGATGCAATCAAACACCATTAACTGACCTTGTCAGAACACGTGTTGTCATCAGGACCACCCCCGATCACAAACAGTTTGCCGACACAGCTGGTGACAGCTGGAGAGCTCACAGCTTCTTTAAGGGGAGCCACCTCTGTCCATCGATTAGAAAACGAATCGTAACACTCCACGCTGCTGAGGCGGTTTTGCCCATCATATCCTCCAACAACATATACCTATGCAAAGTGGTGAAAACTATCATCATTTCATTTTTAGAGTGGTTACTACATTTAAGTATGAAATTAAATTAAAGCTGCAAGAATCCTAATTTGCCACTTTTGTGAAGATGTACTTTCCTCAAATTTTTAATTTCTACACAGGAGGAAAAGAATATGGTCTAAAAATAATAGGTAAAGACTCCCTGGAGAGTTCCATTCAGTCACATGTGGAATGACACTGCAAACACACGTCCAAAGCATAGTATTATTAATACTGAGATAGAAACTTCTATTCCAATGGCGTTTGTTAGAAAAGGCACTTCTCTGCATTTCTCTTTTTACAGATTACATTCCGCAACAGCAGCTGCAAAAGTCCATCTGAATTTACCTTCGCTTTTCTGTGTTTTGCTTCTTCCCTGCTTGCTTACAAAAATACTTTCAGTTTGTAAACTTTACTTTCCTGTTGCTTCTCTCATTTCAGCAGAGATCATGATTATTTGTGTCTACCTTCTTCCCCGTTTGCTCCAGCTGCAAGTCTCATCTTTAAGAAGTCCAAGGGACACCACATGCACATCCTCCCTAACTGTCATTAATGGAATTCCCATGGGCAGTTGATCCCAACTACTGGGTTTGTGTTAAGGCATGCATGCCTTCAAAATACAGCAAAACCTCCAATTTCCCCCCAGCATATATTTGGTTAATTTTAATATAATGCATTAAATAAAAGAGCACAGAGCTGACATTCAGAGCAGTACCAGTTTCTGTCAATAACTGCATAAACGGTAAAGCTTTTGACAGCACTTCTGAAGCCCAGGAAAATCCAGATGCTTCTTTGCTTCCCAAAAAATTGCTTCTTGGGGATAAGACACTTTGATGACAAAAAAAACCCACACAAAAAACCTGAGGAGTAACATGACTTTCATGTCCACAGATAGTGTCTGACTGATACAGAACCTAATTGTTTAAAATATTCTTTTATTTGAAAATATGTATTTTTAAAAATATTTGATAGAAAGTATGAAGTAATACTAAACCTGTACGTGTGTTTTCTGCACCTTTTTTTCAATTAAAAAAAGAAAAAAAAACCCTACAGCAAACATCCCCACTATAAAAAAAAATGATGAATATACTTCTCTTACTTTACCAAGAAGAACAGCCATTTTATGACGCCATCTGCCTTTATTTAAGGAGGCAACTCTGATCCAAATATTAAGTTGAGAGTTATAAATCCAAACATCTCGGCTATTGATTCTTCCACCTTTAAAAACAAAGATATGCCAATTCGAATAAATTCATTACGGAATGAGAAACGTTAACCATTAACATGCCTCTCTACAGTGGGCAATGAAAACTTTCTATCTTTTCTAGGTGAAATAAAGATCTATTTATATTTATGTGTTAGACTGAAAAAGTCAGTTTCAGTGGATCTCAAAACCAAAAAACATACTGTAAGCTATTTTACTTGTGTGTGCCTTTCCCAGTAACGTGCTGAGATCACATTAGGTTATTTCTTGAGACTGGAACGCATTTTAATGGCTTTTGCCCATGCTATTCAGATTTCCTTTAGTGTCACTACCTGCATGAGACACTTGAAATCTTAACCATTTGTGTGCCTCACAGCACAGCCCTAACACTAGCTGCTCCTCTGGATCAGGCACCGATCTCCTTCGTTCACATTTTGTTCAAACGACACAAGTACTACACATCTGAGGAGATGACTTCTTTGGTTAAACTAACACATGGGGCTTGGTGTCTAAACCGTCAGCTGTACCCTAAAATTTACCCTTGCCACAAGACTGAACAAGAGATGCTTAAAAACCTGTAACTATTGCTTCTTTCACAGTCAAAGGCTAGTATAAATGGATCCCCAACTCAGGTGCTAAAAGGAATTTGTTTCCATTTCACATTCCCACCGTGAGAAGCAGCATAACTGTTTTTCTTTAGGAGTCTAAGCAGCCATACAGTAGAAACGAGTCACCAGCAACGTACTAATGGTGCTCCTAGGTGTTTTAAACCAGCACACAGCACGTTCTGTAGCAGACAAAATGCTGCTGGGAGAAGACTGCTTGGGATTTCCTGCTTTTAATTTTTCCAACTGTTGCTGCAAACAGGCCACTACTATATTTTAAAGCAGTGTACTTAGCGAGCATAAGCCAGTCTCTAAATACAACTTACGTCCCGGAATGAGCTGTAAAAAACTACCGGTTAATACCAAACAAAAATCCCAGAAAACATTTTTGTCTACAATAAGATTGGTTTGAGCCCAGTGTTCACCATTTACATCAGAAAATGACTTTCAGTTGAGCTTCTGGAAGTTCACAGTACAAAAATCTGCCACGCTATAAAAGCAAACAAAAAAACCCACATAAAAAAACCCAAAGAAATCTTAAATTTGTTAGGATTATTCACCTGAAACAAGAATATCATTCCGTAGAGCACACACTGCATACTCAGACTTGGTAAACTCTGGAAGTTTAGCCAGTGACTTCCACTCTCCTGTTACAGGATCGTAGCACTCAGTATAGGGCAAATTAAACCCTCCAACTCGTTCACAGCCTCCAACAACAACTATCACCTCAGAATAACCAGTTGATCTAAAAAAGCGAACACAGAAAGCTCAGATGTAGAATATATTTATTAGTACATGGAGGCCAAACAACATTGTCTTCAAAACTGTGTGAAAATTGGAAAACTTACTATTCAGCATTCACTTCTACAGCAAAGAAGAAAAGAAAAAGAAAAGAAGAAAGAGCCATTTAGCAAACAGAGGTTTTCACTGTTTCCAGCTGTCTCATTACACAGCAGGTTACCACACAGACAGGTGCTCTGTGTAAGTGGTGGAATGGCACTGCACAACATTCTATGTAAAAATCAAATAATTTAAAAATATAGAAAGCTCTTAATCTAATATTTTTTCTTTTGACTTTGTATGTAGACATATCAGAAACAGAGTTGAAGTGAGGCCTGAGACAATGAACAATCTGTTTTACAATGAAACCAGTCCCCGTGTCCCCCCTCCCCCAAATTTTACAAAATTCTCAGTACTTTACATTGCTTCAATATTCTAAAAGTTTAGAATGTTTTAGGTTATTTCCTGCAAAAAAAGCTGAAGGCGTATAGTCACCAAAATAAGGAAAAAGGAGACCATAGAGACAATGCACAGTTTAAAAAGTGGAAAACAGACATCTTGATAGAAGGAAACATTAACAAATGAAATAAAAATTCAAGCCTAAAACAAACACTAAAACTCAGCATGAAAAAATTAAGCATTAGACAGTCTGCAATGTACACAAATAAGCCTTTAAATTCTATTCCACACACTCATTCTCCTACTAACCTGATGCTTCTGCATTATACATATTCTATATTCACAGCAATAATAAAACTCGTGAATCCACATTTGAATGTAGAGAACCAACCACCCATCTTCAACGTGCAAATTAAACTATGACCACTTTACTATGCCTCTCATTTATAAATTCTCGTAAGCCAAAATCCTTTCTTTTCAGGACATTTTTAGACTAAAGGATTTTGCAAAGACATAGTTATTTCAAGGACTGTTGTCTATTAATTAAGTAGAACTGAATGAAGATTGATTTTTGGTAAGCCTTTTTGTCGTGTTGTGCTTTAACTTTGATCCCAATATGAACAGACATGTCATTTATACCATTGCTGAGTACCGTGGTCCTCTGAAAAAAAAATTGCTTATGACTGCATTTGAGATAAAAGTTGCATGATCTGCTCCCAAATTTCCTAACGTGAACATATGCACATATTAACTTACAAATCCTGATGACATTTTCCCCATTTTGAACCATCAGGAATAAAACTAGTTGACGCTTCTATCTCCTCGTCACGATACACCATAATTTAAATATACTATGTATTTCTAGTCAGAATATTTTAAATAGGCAAAGGCAATGCTACATGGTAATGTACTGCAAGATCATCTAATGAAGATGTGCATCTGGGGAAGCATACGTACGTACCTGAACTGGTCAGAAGAAACACCCTCTTCAGCTGCTCAGCTGACAGAAGTCATGCTCGTTCCTGGTTTCTATGTATTTACTGTTACTGGTTTTTGCTTTTTTGAGGAACAACTCTGAAAAGAATCTCTCAAAGGGTAAGAGAGGGGAAGTTCCTGCGCCAGCAAAGTATTATCCAAGAAGAGAACTTCCTTAAAAGCAGGATATTCATCTCAATTTGCCTTAGAAGCAAGCCCAAATACATCAACTAACTGTATGTACAAAAGAGGTTTAACTGTTGATTACTTTCCAGATTAGAGTCAAGGCCTCCACTTACTTAATGTACCAGATTACCAATCATTATTTTAAAACTAAATGAACCAAAAATCTTTGATTGGAGAGAGCTCTCTATGAATTGCTATAACGGAGTTTTGCTTTTTAAAGAAAATATTAATTTAGTACAATATTTCAAATCCACAGAAACCCCCAAAATTTTCCAATATTTTACTACCTATATAACCATATTCTTTCTTCAGTTCAGAAACATTTTCTGTTACATTTTCTTGATTCGAAGTTAGTTCGAAACGATTTTTTTGCATGTGACAGAGGGCACATCAGTTTGTAAAAAAATAAAAAACGTGGGAGTACACAAAAAGAACACACAGGCAAAGGCTAATTCCAGAAAAGAACTAAGGATATGTTTGAAGGGAGATTAGAAAAGCTGTGATCTCATTCAGCAGTATGGAAAGTCCTCCTTGTAGCCCTGGAGAAACGGTGTGTGCAAGGTAACAGAGGTGAGGTAAAACAGGTACTGGAGAGATTCCAGAAGCCACCATCCCACACCAGGAAGAGGTGCACGAAATAGGAAAGGGGGAGTGGAAGACGAGGGGGAGTGGAAGACGACGGACAGTATCATATAATCCCATCCATCCCCAAAAGCAGGTTTCCAAGGAGTCCTGAGTTACACAGACCTCTAGACAAGATGAGAAAGCCAACCAGCACAGCATCAGCTGGACAAAAAAACCTTCAGTAGTTCAGACAGATTATATCCAAAACCACTGTAAGTCTGAGAGACAAATTACAGGAATTCTGGTAAACCACTACTTATTTTCCCCCCTGTTCATTCACTTTTGGTGGTAAATGGGATAACAGTTAGAAATGTAAAGCGAAATAAAAACTAATCTCCTTGAGGGGGGAAAAATAAGGGACTACATTAAACCTTTCTAAAAGCAACCAAAAAGGATGTGTTAGAACGTATAAATGTAAGTAACTTCTAACTAATTAAAGAGAACACTCATATATTGTCATCAGACAGCTTAACAGAAACTGTGATTGAAGAATTCAGAGATACACGAAAATCTGAAGATAATTCAAAGCATACAGTACGAAGGGCCTGTTTTGGCTTGTATATGGAAATGTATTACTGCTCACTGCTTGATCTCAGCTTGGAGACTTGCTGGGCAGCACAACCAGTGGGGACAAGAGAGACTAAAAAGGTGCATCAGAGCGAACCTCAAGATGTCACTATGTCATTGCAAGGACATAACTGAAAAGCTCTTGCAAAAAGACCTTCTGTGTTTGTCAACAATGCCTAGTGGCAAAAGAACGGAGGCAACCGTTACGCCATGTTTTACACTTTTATTTACTTAGGTAACTCTTCACTGGCTTCAAAAAGAGGAAAAAAAATCAACTGCAAATTGCAATCCACACTATTCTTAAAAAAAAAAAAAAGTAACCCACTTCAACCATAGATGTATACATACCCACCCAAGGAATTGCAATTAATTTCCAGAAGTTTCAGTAAAAACACTGGCATGGGAATTTCTGTTCCTGCAGCCTGTCTCTTTTAGAAACAGTTTATGTAAAAAAAGAAATTGGAGGAAGGCAAGAAAGAAGGAAACGAGCTCTCCAGTGCCTTCTCCTCAACCCCCCCGAAATGATCAGAAAAGGTGTGATGAAAACATGGGGGCCGGGGAACCTGGTAACTGTTTTAAAACACCATCTCTTTTTGCTATAGGCAACAGAAACAAATGACAAAGAACTATT